TCTGATTTATCTTCAGTTTGATGAAGAGAAACAGAAACTCCTTTTATTTTCTTCTTCTCTTTAAACTCTACTTGAATCAGTGAGCAAATCATTTGCTAGTATCTCCCTGAAGTTCTTAGTAGATTCAGAAAATTTATCATCGCTTCTAGATTGATTTGCTGTAGCATTGCTATCACTCTCATCACTTTTCTTTTTCTTTTTCCTTCCAACAGTTTGCTCAAAGGCAGAACAGTGACTGTGTCCATCTTTTTTGGTAATGCGGTCAGTCAGCAATTCTTTAATTTCAAAGTAGTAGTATTAGATCAAATCTAAATATTAATCAAATGAACTAAAAACTGCATGCATTTTAAAAGAATGAGTGGTGGGAGTGAAATAGACACACACAGTTGTTGCACTCGATCTTGTTGAACTCAAACTGTCTCTCAATCAATAGCCTTCAAGTTATTTTTCTTAATATTCTTTTGTGATTCAATACTTTGCTTTTGCAGCCTTGCTTGTTGAAAATGGGAAATTTCATCTTCTAAACTGCTGCTACACTACACTGCTCTGCTCTGTGTACCATCCTGTGTAGCAGTTTTTTCAAAGTGCTGCTGACCAGCTGTCAAAGCCTCCTTGTGAAAGAGCTAAAATAATTATTTCGATCTAGGAGAAGGAAGGAATCAAGCAATTTCGAGTTTACAAGGTATATTTTTTTTTATTTGACCAAAGTTTGTTGAACTTTTTCACAGAATAATTATCTAGTTGTCATCTAGTATGTTACTAAGTTGCCTATCAAACACTAAAATTGATATTCAATTGTTTGTTACGTACTTGATATTTCCAAAATTTAATGGTATTTGATTACAATTCTAGATTCTAGATTATTTGAAACTCTAAAATACCATCTTAGTGTATTTGCTAATCATTTTGAGCATTAATGCATGTAACTAATTTTAGTAGTTTTTGTGGATGCAATTTGTTAGCAAGTGGGAAGTTCAAGATGGACAAAACATGGGTACATTTTCCAAGGTTTATTTCTAAACACAACCATAAACATGCTTTCAAATGTTAAGTTACTCATTTTGTTTGGATGGAATTAATAATAATTTAAAGTTTTCAGAGTATCGAATGAGTATGTGGACGGAGCGAGAAAATTTGTCAACATGGCTAAGGAAAATTCAAGGAATACTGATATGATCATATGCCCTTGTGGAAGTTGTCGAAACCTGTCATAACAACATTGTGGTATTGTTTTCGAGCATTTGGTCACGGTAGGGATGGGTCCTAAATATACGTCATGGGTTCTTCATGGGGAACGACTAAGTGAATCTGAAGAAGTTCAGGACAATGTCGAAATTCCGGAGACATATAGGCTGTTTAGAGATGTTTATGCACACGATGATGTTTGACAACCTAGAAATGAAAGTAGAGAGAGGGAGTTCACACAAGCATTAGAAGATGCTAAAACTCCTTTATATCCAGGTTGTACAAAGTACACTGAAACTCCTTTATATCCAGGTTGTACAAAATACACTAAGTTCTCAACAATTGTCGCTTCATACAAACAAATTGTTGGCCTGCAAAGTTGCAATACTGTTCAAATTGATTAATTTGTTAACCCTTTCGGAAAAAGTTGATTGAAATAAGCAGTGCAAGCCTCAATTATATGCAGGTTAAGTCACTTGAGATTTGGTTTGCCTGAAGCTCAATCAATGGTTTTAGATTCTTGGTAAATAGGATTGAAAGTGGAGTTTATTTATTTATTTATTTATTTTGTTAAATATTGTTTTTTTTTTTTTCCAACTCTACCTTCTTCCAAGACTCAAATAGTAATGTCATTTTATAATTTTGCAGAACAAGGGATATCATTTTATGGATAAGGAAGAACCCGGGAAGGAGGTTTCTGAGGACGTGACTTGGGAGTCACTAATTGCTCTCTCTTATCGTCTACCAAAGAAGGATGTTGCTCTAGGTTTCTCACCTGAAAATTTGAATAATGAGAGTAAAGCTGTGCATGGGGCATCTGACAAGAGTTTTGATGAAAATTTGAGATTAGTGTCTGACATGCTACCAAAAGGTAACGCACTTGTGCAATCTATATATTCAACAAAGAAGTTGCTTAAGCCATTTGATCTTGGGTATGACAAAATACATGCTTGTGTCAATGATTGTTGTTTATTTAGAAAAGATTTACAGCATATGGAGGCATGCCCGAAATGCAATTGTTCACGTTGGAAAGTAGATAAGTGAACTAAGAAGATTAAAAAGGGGGTTCCAGTGAAGGTGTTGCGTTATTTTCCAATAATTCCAAGATTTAGAAGAATGTTCAGGTCACAAGAAAAAATAAAACAATTAACTTGGCATTCCACTCACAAAAGTCAAGATGGAAAGATGCGACATCTAGTTGATTCGTTGGCATGAGATGCAATTGATCACAAGTGGCCCTCTTTTGCATCGAATCCACGAAACCTTCGACTTGGTCTTGCAACAGATGGATTCAATCCCTTTGCAAATTTTAGCTCAACGTACAGTTGTTGGCCAGTGATGTTAGTGACTTATAATCTTTCTCTATGGTTATGCATGTCAAAGGAAAATATAATGTTGACATTGCTTATACCGGGACCAAAGCAACCAGGGAATGACATAGATGTGTATCTGCAGCCACTTATAGAAGACCTACAAGAATTATGGAATAATGGTGTGGAGGTCTATGACACAGCCAGCAAGTCTATGTTTAATTTGAAGGCTATGTTGATATAGACAATAAATGATTTTCTAGCTTATGGGAACTTAGCTGGATGTGCCACAAAAGGGAAAGTTACATGTCCTGTATGTAGCATTAACACATGCTCGCAGTGGTTGAATCACAGTAAGAAGACAGTATACATGGGCCACAGGCGATTTCTATCATTGGATCATCCATTTCGAATGAAAAGAAGTTGGTTTGATGGAAAGCAAGAATTTGGGGGGAAGCCTAAACCATGGAGTGAATTTGATGTGTGAGATGCAGTAAGGGACATTGAAACTACTTGGGGAAAAACTATAAAGGAAAGGAAAAGAAAAGAAAAGGGCCAGACCAAAAAGAAGGATGACCAAAAAGAGTCAGATTGTGTCCAACCATGGAAGAAAAAGTTCATATTTTTCAATCTACCATATTGGAATGTAAGTCCTTGGAAAGTAGGATTTCATATTCTTTTGTCTATTGTTAGTCTTAGTTAAACTTTTTCTTGTAATTTTTTAAATAATAAATCTTTTGTTGATGTTGTAAGCATTGCTTTTATGTCATAACTTGGATGTGATGCACATTGAGAAAAATGTTTGTGAAAATTTTTTATGCACACTTTTAGATGTTAAAGGGAAATCAAAGGATGGTCTTAAGGCTCGACAAGATTTAGCAAAAATGGGAATTAGAAGTGAATTGCATGCAGAGGATAAAGGATCCCATTTTTACTTGCCACAAGCATCACATACACTTTCAAAAGATGAGAAGAAGATTTTTTGTTTTAGGCTACAAGATTTGAAGTTGCCTGATGGTTATAGCTCAAATATTGCTAATTGTGTTTCATTAGAAGAATGCAAGTTAGTTGGACTCAAGTCACATGATTGTCACGTCCTGTTTCAACAATTGTTGTCAGTTGCATTGAGAGGGCTTTTGCCAAAAGGACCAAGGAATGCCTATTCTGAATGTGTTCTTTTTTCAATCAAAGGGTGATTGATAAGAATAAGATAGAACAATTTGAAAATGATGTTGCCGAGACATTATGTATGTTAGAAAGATTCTTCCCTCCATCATTTTTTGATATTATGGTACACTTAGTAATTCATATAGGGCGAGAAACTCGCTTATGTGGGCCAGTGCAGTTTCGTTGGATGTATCCATTTGAAATGTGAGTCTATATCATATTTTAAATATAAGCATTGTTTTTTCTCTAACATAAATAAACTTTTAAAAAAGTTGTTAAGCTGAATTTTATTGCTGTTTAGATACATGAAGATACTCAAAGGTTATGTAAATAATAGAGCAAAACCTGAGGGTTGCATAACAGAATGCTATCTAGCTAAAGAGGTCCAACAATTTTGTAGTGGGTATATGAAGAAAGTAGTTGAAATAGGTGTTCGACATAACTGTAATATAGAGATTGAAAGTGACACAATACTAGAAGGACGCCCAATTACTTTGAGAAAATCAATAGCGATACCAGATGATATGTTGCAAATTGCTCATCGATATGTGCTGATAAACAGTGCAGACGTCCAACCTTATCTAGAGTAAGTATGATGAGTTAAATACTCCTTTGTAGTTGACGATTCAAAGAATAGTGGGTTCTTACTATTTTGCTTTCTTATTAGGATGCATGTGGAGGAGCTTCAGCATTCTGATAGGCGTTTATTGAGGGATGTTGCATTACTAAATTCTAGACAAATGGATACTTTTTGCCAATGGTTGAAAGAGAAGATCAATTCTTGTGGTAGTGAGGTGTCGAATACATTGAAATGGCTTGCAGCTGGCCCAAGAACTGTGTCATACTTGGGTTATGTCATTAATGGCCATCGCTTTCATACAACCAATGTTGAGAGGGCTACACAAAATAGTGGTGTTTCCATCGAAGTAGAAACTCTTTGTCGAGCTAGTAAGAGAGATACCACACAAGTTGTGAGAAAATCTCTTTTTATGGGGTTATTAAAGAGATTATTTTGTTGGACTATTGTAAATTCCAAGTCCCTGTATTTAAATGTGATTGGGTAGCTACTGAAAATGGTGTCAAAGTTGAAGTTGTGAGTGGGCTGTCTTATTTTTATTTTTTTCATGTGTCATAAAGAGTTCTAAAAAGGCAGCAAAAAGACATAAGAAAGAGCAAGAAGCTATAGTTGCTGCCACAAAGGATAATAGAAGTGATGGACCCATTAGAATTTTAGATGTAGGTTCCAATACTCGACAAATTGAATCACCAAATGCAGATGGAGTAGTTGACTCTGGTCAATAACCAAAGAGGAAAACTAAGGGGCCGTCAAAGTTAAAGATGCATGACAAAGGCAAACAAAAGCATGATGAGATTGATTTTAATGAAAAGAACCAACCGATAGGACAAGAATCAGTGCACTTATCAACCTTAGAAGGGATCTTAGCTCGGGAGATGGTGCCAATTAATATAGATTATTGGTCTAAAGTTCCAGATGAGATTAAGGATAAGTTATGGGCTTGTGTGAAGGTAGTATGTTTATGCAATTAATTTCATACAACAATTCATTATTTTCCCCCCTCTTGTAATATTTAATGTCTGGTTATATGAAATGCAACTTAGATACAAAATACATGATATCCACAAGACACATGTGATGCAAAAGTTCACAAAATTGTGACGCAATTACAAGTCTGAATTATCAAGAAAAGTAAGAACTCTCGCTGCAGTAGGTAAAGGTCATTTAGCACGTAATATTGTCCTCACCAAACCTGATAAGATTGGAATGGATGAATGGAAGGCATTTGTGAAAAATCGACTTTTAAAAAGCTTCATTGTAAGTTTTTTTTCATAACAGTTTTATGTAGAAGCTCATTTTTTTTTTCATAACAATTAAGATAAAGATTACAAATTCTTAAAAAAATGTGGGCATTTCAAATGTTTACACTTAGGAAAAGAGTGAAAAATTCAAAGAGATGAGAGCAAAGCAGAAGGTGTTACACACAATGAGTAGAAAAGGCTATGCACGATTGGAGGAAGACATGGTAAGTTTGGCAATATAAATGACATTTATTTTGAAAGTATTTTGATTTTGTTGCTTCTACTTTTGTACTATGTTTTATTTTATTTTTTATTTTTTGTTTCTTTTCTAGAAAAATCAAAGCCAAGGCCCAGATTCCATATCTAGAGTGGATGTTTGGATCAAAGGATATACAAGACAGAAGGGAAAACTTGTCAATGAAGTGCTTTAGAAAGCAATGGTATGAATTAGCTTAATATGTTATTAAAGCTTGTGATTTCATTCAATCCAATTGAAAGATTGTTGGTTGTTACTTTACAATTGCTTTACAATTGAAAGATTGCTGTTTGCTGTGCTGTTTTGTTTGGGCTGCTGTTGCTGTGCTGTTTTGTTTTGGTAACAAATTGCCAGTTTGTTTTGCTTTTTTTTTCCTTTTTTTTTTTTGATATGTAGAGATCTAGTTTGTCTTAAACAAAACCTATAAAGTTGTGCTTGTGATGTTACTTCATTTCTTCAATTTGTTTGATAATTACTTGTCTTATTGTGGTGAAGTAACTCAGAGGTGAGTTTTGTACCTATTTTTGTTGTTAGCAGAGTTGGTACGTCCTCTTCCTTTTCTTCTTCTTTGGATATAAGTACAAACTATGGATTTTGGGTTTTTGGATTTGATTGGAGAAGAAATATTAGTGTTATTGTTTTCCTAAGACTTGAACTGAGCATTACTATCAGCAATATGCCCTAATTATGTTCAATAAAAGGAATGGGGGTGGTGTTTCCTTTCAGTTTATGAAGTAACTCATAGGTGAGTTTTGCACCTGATTTTGTAGTTAGCAGACTTGGGTTCCTTATCATAAATGCCACATATTGCAGAATAAGGTTCAAGAGCTTCACAAGCCTTCTACAGAAGAAGGGTCAATGTTTATAAAAAATGATGCAATTGTTCAAGCGTTTGGTCCAGAACGGCGTGGTAGTGTAAGAGGGCTTGGATTTGGAGCATTGCCATCGAAAGTTGATGCACAGGCATATTAAAATCAAAATATGAGACAACTAAATGAAAAATTGCTACTATTAGAACAAGAACTCCGGGAGATGAAAGCTGAAATGTTAAAAGGAAAAAGGCAAACTGAGGTTAAAAAAAAAAATGAACAATGTCACAATATATGTGGTCAAATTTGTCATCCTATAAAATTTAACTGTTTTTTAACTTTGGTACTTCCCATCTTAGATATAAGGATATTTCACAAAGTTTGTAAAATAAAAAATTGATTAATACTTGCAGGAGCCAAGCAAAGGGGCAAATGGACACTCACATGGAGAAACCTAGGTAAACTTGCACATTTCTTATGCTTGTGCTTTTGTTTGCTTGCTTTTCTATTTAAGCTTGTCATTTTGCGTATGGATTACATTAAGATTCTAAATTTAAGTAAGCAAATGCTTCTTGCCATTTGAGAGGGTAATTTTTGGAGAAAATTGGGCCGAGCTGTGAGATGGACTTTTGTGGCCCAAAGTATGAAGGACTTGGTAAAAGGCCATAATGTTATTCCGGCCCAGAAGAAGTATAATTACTCCGGCCCAAGAATTGATAAAGTTACTTCGGTCCGATGTAGCTTGGAGTAGGTCTGGTCGCGGATTTAGTCCGGTCGTGATGTCCCTTGAATAGGTCGGTCTGACAGTGTCTTTGAGTTAGACCGACCTAGGAGTTATACCGGTCGCAATTGGTTAAGTATTTTCCAACCGTGCCATGGGTTGAACAAGAGAGAACCAAGATAAGGAGGATTAAAAGCAGAACCGAACTAAGGAGGTTCGGCCTACTCAGTGGCTCTGCACAGTCAAGTTATTTCGGTCATGTTATAGTTCGGCCATGGTACAAACCATCTCACTTGGTTTAAGCAGTGAGGGGGGTGTTAAAGGATAAGCATTATCCTTAGGAGTATGAATCC